ACCACTGAGCCACATCCCCAGCCTCAGACCCTGTCTCTTAAAACAATCTTTCCAAATATCATCTCTAGATTATTTATGATACCTAACAATGTAAATGCTCTGGATGTAGTTGTCACACTGTATTACTTAGGGAATAATGACAAGAAGCTTGTAGAAATTCAGTGCAATTTTTTTCCTGAATATTTTTGCTCTGTGGTTGGTTGAATTCACAAATCTGGAACCCCTGGGCCCAGAATTTATGGACACAAAGGCCAACAGAATAATACTTAACAATTTCATAATTAAAACCTTCCAGGGGCTGGGGATTTAGCTCAGTGGTTCCGCTGCCTGCCTCGAAACCATAAGATCCCAAGTTCGATCCCAGGTATCAAAAAAAAAAAAAAAAAACAACCTTCCACAGGCACTCTCTCTAGTCCATCTTGAAGGGCACTAAGAAATCATTATAATGTATTAACTTTCTATGTAATTCCATATAGTGTCTCAAAAAGCTTTTAAAGCTGTCAATTAATATATACTTGGTTGCCGGGTGTGGTGGCACATGCCTGTAATCCCAGCACTCGGGAGGTTGAGGCAGGAGGATCTCTGCAAGTTCAAGGCCAGCCTGGTCAACATAGTGAGTTCATGGCCAGCCTGAACTACAAAGGGAGACCCTGCCTCAAAAAACAAAAACAAAAACAAAAACAAACAAATATATATAAATATATACTGTTATTTCTAAACCCACTATAGTTCACTTTTATAAATCAAATCAACACCTCCAAACACATAATAGCCAACTTTGTCCCCAACTCTCCATGCCTGTTATAATTCTACCAGGATGAGTTGACATTAACTGTTCAAAATAAGTCTGTCCTTCCACAAACTCCCTCTCCAGGCTCAAATAACCTGTTGTCAAATACAGTTACTTTCTCTGCCACCCAGGCTAGAAAACTATACACTTCACTTTCTTATTCATGCATATAAATAATTTCTTTTAAAAAGGGTAACAAAGAGCTGGGGTTATAGCTCAGTGGTAGAGCACTTGCCTAGCAGGCATGAGGGCCTGGGTTCAATCCTCCATACTACAAATAAATAAATAAATAGATAGGATAACAAAAAACATCCAAGTGAACCCCTCAGAAGCACAGTAAGAGCTATTAACAAGATCAGAGAAAATAATGCTAACATGAAAGGTGAATTCTGTAGATTGGCTTCTGCTCAAGAACCATACAAGATCGCTTCTCGGCCTTTTGGCTAAGATCAAGTGAAGAACTATACAAGAGGTGTTACAACTGGAACGTCAACAAAACTGTCATGAATTGCCTAATTACTGGGGAGATTAACTTAACTCACAAATGTTCGATCTACAATGGAAAGAAAAGATTTTATTTTACACACAGTAGTACCTCTTCTTTTGTAAAGCTCTACTGCTTAATATTTCTTAATCTGATAAGCAAAATTTCACAAATCTGGCTTTAATTCTTCTTTCCAAAAGTAGCCCCCACCACTGCAATATGAGAATGTACCAATTCCCCAATGACTCTAATTACCATACATCCAAACATATACTAGCAAAAAAAGAAAAAATTACCCGCCCACCTCGCTCATTTTTCGTGGCATAATGTAGCTAGTGACAAACAGCAGCAAATGGCATTTCTATACAAGCAGCAACCCCTATCTAAATTTTATCTTTCTTTCTTACAGAGAAGTCCTATTACCTTTTCAAGCACCAACCCAAGGTCCAACTTTCCTTTTGAAAAAAATAACTACTCTCCCTGATAACCTGACAAATACGTTCATACATTCTTCTTTCCAGACTTAAAAGTCAAATTCAGCATCAAGGGTTGCGATTTTACACATCTTGTTATGCAACACAGCAATATACAGACAACCTGGCACCAACAAAAGAGCCAAGAAATATACATATATATACCTCTGATAAGAATCATTACACACTATGGAGGGCAGGGAGGGGAAGCGAAAAAAATTAAGATGTGTTATGTACACACATCATCTCCCCACAATGAATAGTCATTATGCACTGCAAACATGTAATAAAATTTTTTTTTTAATTTTTAAGTTACAATTAAAAAAAAATCATTACACACTGCAAGCTAAGAAATGCATCTGTAATTAGGTAACTGAAAATACAGCTCAATTTAACAATTCAAAGGTTACAAGCCAGATTTAAGTTGTTTTCTTATACATGGAAAATATTTCCTCCACAAGAGATAAGCAACAGTATATATTCATTTATTTTGATTTAAAAAGACAGTAGCTAGAGAACTCACCAGAGAAGTTGCCATGAATGGCAAAGCTGATACCAGTGGCTCGCTGCAAGGTCAAGTTGTACAGGAACATGACGACAGCAAAACTGAGTCCCTCAGTATTCCAGGTCTTGGTTATACCAACAAGATCAAATCAAAGCAAGCTAAGGACACAAAAAAGTGAAAATTAGCTGAGCAATTGTCATTTTTACAGAAATTTTTATATAGGGAAGCCTGGTTAAAGGAAGCAGACCCAATACAGTAAGGGCTATTGAAGATTACCACACATATACTTACTGGTAAGAATACTTTCTATATACAGTACCAGGAACCACACTATCTGCTTTTTCTGTTTGGTTGGGGTTTTTTTTTTTGGTATCAGGGATCAAGAACTCAGGTCCCTGCACTTGCGAGGCAGGCAGAGGAACCTCTGAGCTAAATCCCCGGCCCATGTTTTTTCTTTTTTGAGTCGATCTCATCAAGTAGTTCAGGTTGGCCTTGAACTCACAGTAATCCTCCTGCCCCAGCCTCACGAGTGCTGTGATTACAGGCTGTGCTACCATGCCCAGCTTCTGCTTTGCTTCTAATTTCACAAAAATCTTATGTGTGTAGTTTTATACTCATTTTATAGATAAGAAAACTGAAGCCTGGAAATTAATTAAATCACTTAGTTGGGTAGGGTGGTGTACATCTGTAATCCCACCACTCTAAGAGGCTGAGGTAGGAAGAAATCAAGTTTGAGACCAGCCTGGGCAATAGCAAGACCCTGTCTCAAAAACTTTTTTAAAAGGACTGGGGACGTATGTAGTTTAGTGTGAAGGCCCTGGGTTTGATCTTCAGTACCACCTTCCAGAAAAAGGTCACTTGCCTAATATCTTACAGCAAATGGTGATATTTATATTTTTTTAAATCAAAAAAACTATGTAGGTCTATGTTTATACATCTACATGGTTCAGAATTCAAAACCACAGCAAAAACTGCAAACCATTCCTTAGCCACCCAATTCCTCCTGGGGGCATCAATTTTGCCAAATTACATTGTATCTATCCATGCTTTGTAATATATATGTACATATAAAAACATTTTATCTTTCTTTAACCAAATGTTAGGTACCATAATTTATACACTCACACTATACTGCAACTTATTTTTAATTTACCTTCAGATAGCAATTAAACAAAAGGCTTTCTTGCTTTTATAGCTGCAGAGTATTCCAATTTATGGGTATATTATAATTCAGTTAGCCAATACTCTACTAATGAATATTCAGTTTGTTTCCAATCTCTTGCTATTATAAACAATGCTGCAAAGAAAATACCTTACATGTAGATCACTTATATATGTATGAGTTTATCTCTAAGATTAATTCCTATAAATAGAATTGGTGGATTGAGGTAGTCATACATATGAAATGTGTTCTGGTTTTTTGAGACAGTGTCTCACTAGGTAGTTCAGGACAACCTTGAACTCACTGAACTTGCTATGTAGCCCATGCTGGCCTTGAATTTTGCTTCTCCCACCTCAACCTCTTTGAGTGCTAGGATTATAGGTATGTACCTCAATGCCCTGTGATGTGAGTTCCTGTTCCCTCATAACCCAACTTTAGTATTGGGGATTGAACTCAGGTGTTTTTCTTTCACTGTAATTGAAGGGAAGAACTTGGGCTATTTTTCCATGTTTTAACTAACGGTTTCCACTACAAACCTAGGGATTCATTTTCCACAAACCTAAGTGGATCCAGGTTCTCCACCCACACTTTTATCATGAGTAATGGAGGAAGGTGCACTCTGGAGGAAGATCAGTCCGTAATAAAGAACTGTGTACTGGGAAACATTAACAGTTAAAACTTGGTAGGCTTGTAATACAACTTCCCCCCACCTCTACGACAGTAACGATACTATCAGGAGTTTGTGCGACTGCTCACTCCCCCCTTCTCCCTGTTCCAAGGTAGCATCATCGCATTCTGACTCCGAAGCTTTCTAGATAGGTATCATGCTCATTTTGTACAAGGGAAAACTGACATTCAGAAAATGAAACAAGTTAATTACCAAACCACAAACTGAAACCAGAGTTCTGGCTCCAACGACTGTTTCTGTTATTTATACTTTTTAAGTCTTTCCACCTTCCCGTTAGGTATCATTTACTGTTTTCTCCGGCAGATGTCGTTCCCGCTCGTTTTCATATCTACCTCCTGGGTCCCACAGGCCCTAGGGCCTAAAACATAAGGCACTTTTTATAAGCCTTATTTTGAGCCAAGACTCCTTCCCACTCTGTGGACAGACCAGGAAAAGTCACCAAAAGCCGTTTTCGCTCCCATGCATTCCCCCAAACGTCCTTGTGCTCTATCCGAAACACTGAGGCCTAAAGTGCCGCGGAGACTCCCGCCAAAGTGTCGGAGACCCTCGTACGTGGCCACTCTCAACTTTCCCAAGGCCAGAGAAGTCGTAACGCTACTTGCTTACCTTACAGCGGGAAGGATGCCGTAGATATCCGATGGATCCTCAATACTTCGAAACCTAAACCACCACCAACGCTAATCGGCCGGCATCCGCCATTAGCCCTCTAGACAGGGGCCTTCCGATACCGCGCGACCGGAAAAAGGTACCCAACCCGCGCCTGAAGAATATATGTATAAAATTTTGAATGCTTCCGTCAGCATTTAAAATTATTTTAAAATACTACATTATCCTAACTTTACAGAATGATAGAAATTAATATTTTTTTTAAAGTAGTTTTAAAAACGAGTTAGTTGGGCGCTACAGTGGACAGCCCCAAAGTCCGGGAGCGCCAACGGGGACGAAATGCCACAGACCGGGAAGTGACGAACGGAGACCAAGATGGGGGACCTCGAGTCATCTCAGAAGTTATCGGGGGTCTCTCGCCCAGCAGAGGGGGTGGGAGGAGGCAGCTGCACCGAAATCTCTACCGAGCTCATTCGTTCCCTGACAGAGCTGCAGGAGCTGGAAGCTGTGTACGAACGGCTCTGCGGCGAGGAGGTGGGGGACTGAGCCTCTTTTTTCCAAGAAGATGCAGGGTCATTGGGCATAGGAGCTGTCCCTCTTGGGAAATCCAGGCTGTGGGAAACTCTCTCCTTACTGGGGGAAATAAAGCAGCATCTACCAAAGAAGCTTCAGCGTAGACAGCTATTTGGGGAGGCCTGTCTACTCTGTTCTGTCAGATGCCCTCAAGCTTGTATTCCCTGAGCGATCCGCACCCTCTTTCCCCCAAACCCCACACTGATTTCCCTGGTTCATAGTCACTGTAGTGTTTACCCGCTCGAGTAAAATTAGACTGAGAATATGTGGCAACCGCTTGGTTCTCAAAATAAGTGCACTGGCCTAGAAATTGAAAATTATGAAACACCGATATCTCATTTAGGCGAGAAATCATTGCAAATGAACTGGAATTTTAAGACTTCCTCTTGTAGGAAATGATTTGGGAGTGTAACTTTACCGTTTCGGTTAAATTTCAGTGTGTAGCTTTGTAGACAGTTGATTGTGAGTGAGTGTGGCTGTGGGTGTGGGTGTTGGGGTCGCCTTGGGGAAATTTGGGTCCTAGTGCTCAGCCTTTCAAGTAACTGGGGTTGCAGCCTCATCATTTCTGGCTAGGAATTTTAAGATTCAGGAATAACTGTCTAGTCTTGGAAAAGTCACCTCATCTCTTGTACCTCTGATGTTCTGTGAAATGAGGGGCAGGACCTAACCTAAGATTTCTTTCAATTGATGATGTCCTACCTTCTATTTCTTCACTTTTCTGTGGCAACCTGATGTTGTCAATTCACTTTCAAATGTCTTTTGGGTTCCTTGCCGGTCAGAAGAAAAAGACCTAAGCTCTAATCTAAAAGTTTAGCATCTGTTTTTTCCAAACCAAACTTTTAAGTAAGGTTGAGCACAAATCCGCCTCGAGGAGGGGTCTTTTGTATTTTTAAATATTTTCAAATATTAAATTCTATCAATTCTAGCAGTTTCTGATGCTTTTTTCAACAACATGTGTTTGAAAATTTAGTGTTCCTGACATAACATTCTTAGCCTTGCACTCAATGTGTCAATCAGTACTTTGGAGGCAAGACATGTTGGCACAGGGTCCTATAATCCCAGCCCTCAGGAGGATCATCGGGAGTTTGAGGCTAGCCTAGACTACATAGTGAGACCCTATCTCAAACACATACACACACACACACACACACACACACACACACACACACACACCCCTTTGGAGGAAAAATTAAGAAAATCTCATAGATGCAACAGTGTTGTTTCTGTGTTTTTAGTTGATGACTGCCAAGGAAACTTTCCCTCTGGGTACTGTTTTCATAAAAATGTATAGTTAAACTTATATTCTGTTAAGCACTTTGTATATTGTCTGATTCCCTCAGTCCTATAGAGTATGTTTTGTTATCCTTATTTTACAGAGAAACTGAAGCGTAAGAGTACATAAACTAAGTTAGCACAGTAAGTAGCTTAACTGATATAGAATTGTATTTATTCCCTGACTATGAACCAAGAAAAGTTTTTGTTGTTGTGACTGCCACTTTGTAAATTTCATTTATTTACTCACTGTATTTAAATCTTATCTGTATGAGATACTGTGCTACTGATAGTGAATAGAAGTTTATTTCCTCCTATTATAGTGCTCATCTGCTAGATAGAATAAGGTATACACAAGGTAATGATCATTATGCAATGTATAAGTGAACCATTTAAGTCTAAGGGGAGCATAGTGGAAGAAAAGGAATTTGAAATATTGCCTTTCAACTAAGTGGTTGTGTTAGATAACTTTCAAGTTTCCTTCTTACCGTTCTGATGACAAGATGTTTCCCTGTGTTTCAGAAAGTGGTGGAAAGAGAGCTAGATGCTCTTTTGGAACAACAAAACACCATTGAAAGTAAGATGGTCACTCTCCACCGAATGGGGTGAGTCTGTGCATCACAGCACAAGCTGTTGTAAATTCCAAAAGCATCCATTGGATAAGTTATTATTTTTCTTTTCTGTTATAAAATGCCAGTTAGCTTTGAAATAAAGAGGCATATTTCCTCAAGGTAAAGTGAACACCTAATGGTGTGTAGTTCAGTGATTATCGAAGAGTCTTTGAAACTTATTAGAAATGCAATTCTGGGGTCCCAGCCTAAATGTACTGAATCAGAAACCCTAGGAATGGAGCCCAGGAATATGTATTTTAACAAACCACCCTGTTGGTTGATACTGATGCATAGCTCAAATTTGAAAACCACTGCTTTTATTGATTTTGTATATTTGCTAATCATACAAGTGGCTCTTTGCCAGGTGTGGTGGCATGCACCATAATCCTAGCTACTCTGGAGGCTGAGGCAGAAGAGGACCACAAGATTAAGGCCAGCCTGAGAAACTTAATGAGATCTTGCCTCAAAAGAGAAAAGGCAAAGGAGCTGGAGATTTTAGCTCATTGGTACCGCCGCCTACCTCACAAGTGGCGCAAGGTCCTGAGTTCAATCCCCTGTACCAAAAAAAAAGGGGGGGGGGGGAGGGCGGAGAAAAGGCAAAAAAGAAAGGCTGGGCATGTAACAGAGTGGTAAAGTGCTTGCCCAGCATCCACAAGGTCTTGGGTTCAATCCCTAGTGCACCCCTCAAAGTTTCTCAGCATCCTCTTAGGTGGTTGATTAGTAGTTTTTAGGCTCACTTAGCAATTGGAAGAATCTATTTTCTAGTTCTTCGGCTATCTATTTAGAGTGACTAATAGTTTCAGAACTTAATCTTTTAGCCAAGTATCTTAAAATATAAATTAAAAGGGTCAGGGATATAGCTTAGCATTCCCTAAGTTTCATCTCTTGTTATGTAAAAAAAAGAGAGAGAGAGAAAGACATTTTTTTTTTTGGTACCAGGGATCGAACTTGGGTCCTTGTGCTTTCGAGGCAGGTGGCAGAACCACTGAGCTAAATTCCTGGCCCTTAATTTTTTTCATTAAGTATGTCTTGAGCTCACAATAAAAAACTCCCTAGAGAAGGCTGTGTGTAGAGTGAACTGAGCTGAGTTGAGAAGAAGTACAAAAGAAGTGTAAGATACAGTCTGCATCTACAAAAAATGTTTCCATTTTTTACTCCTACCTTCTGGCCCCATGGATATATATGTGCTAACAATGTATGTCTCCAGGCCCAATCTGCAGTTGATTGAGGGAGATGCAAAGCAGCTGGCTGGAATGATCACCTTCACCTGCAACCTAGCTGAGAATGTGTCCAGCAAAGTCCGTCAGCTTGACTTGGCCAAGGTAATCCCATTGTGCTTTTGATGTCTGATTTAATAGAGCTCAGGAAAGCTGCCATCTGGAGGTTAGAGAAGGACCATCCAATAGAAATCTAATGAAATACCAGAATCAAATAAAGATATCACATGAAAAATTCAGACCAATTGCTCTTCTGCATGTAGATATAAAAATTCTCAACAAAATAAAGGAGCAAATCCAGCAACATATAAAAAGGATTCTAGGGCTGGGGATTTAGCTCAGTGGTTCCAGCGTCTGCCTCAAAAGCACAAGGTCCCGAGTTCGATCCCTGGTACCAAAAAGAAAAAAAAAAAGGATTCTAGAGCTGGGTGTGATAATGCACACCTGTAATCTCAGCACCCAGGAGGCTAAGACAGGAGGATCACTGCAAGTTTGAGGCCAGCCTCAGCTACATAGTGAGTTGAAGGCCAGCCTGAACTACCTAGCGAGGCCTTCTCTCAAAAAAAAGAGAGGATTCTGATGCTAGTACTCCAAAATATAAAAAAGAATTATAAAGTTGGGTACAGTACCACATCCATGTAATCCCAGCTACTTGGGCAGTTGAAGCAGAATGATTAAAAGTTTAAGATCAGCCTAAGCAAGTCAGCAAGACCCTGTCTCAAAATAAAAAACAGCTGGGCATGATAGCACATGTCTATAATCCAAGCACTCTGGGAGGTTGAGGCAGAATAATAACAAGTTTGAGCCCAGCTTCAACAATGTAGTGACTTAGCAAGACCCTGTCTCAAAATTTAGAAAAAGGAGGACAGGGGTTGGTCGGTATCTGCAAAGGCCCTGAGTTCACTTGCCAGTACCACTAAGTAAATAAATACAACATACATACGTCAAACAGAAAAAAAGACTGGAGATGTAGTTCAGTGGTAGAGTGTTTGACCTGTGTGCATATAGCCTCGGGTTCAGTCCCTAGGACTGAAGAAGAGCAAAAGAAGATTATGGGACCAAATGGGATTTATCCTAGAAATGCAAGGTTAAATATCTGAAAATGAATTATTGTAACACTATCAATAAAGTACAAAAGCCACAGGATCCTTTTATAGATTTAAAGTATTTGTCAGAATTCAGTGGGCCAGGGATGTAGCTCAGTGGCACAGTGCGTTCCTGGCAAGCATGAGTTTAATCCCCGGTACAAAAAAACCAAAACAATGGGAGGCTGAGGCAGGAAGATCATTGCCAGTGCAAGGCCAGCCTGAACTACATAATGAGACCTTGTCTCCAAACAAAAAAAAAAAATTGCTGGGGATGGTGGCACAGGCCTGTAATCCCAGTACTTGGGAGACTGAGGCAGGAGGATCACCATGAGTTTGAGGCCACCCTAGGCTACATAGTGAGTTCAAGGTCAGTCTGAACTACATAGGGAGACCCTGTCTCAAAAACCAAAACAAAAGGGCCGGGGATTTAGCTCAGTGGTTCCAGTGCCTACCTCAAAAACACAAGGTCCTGAGTTCGATCCCCAGTACCAAAAAAACCCAAAACAAACAAAAAAAACCCAAAACAAAAAACTTAACAAATTTGTAACAGAAGGGAACATTCTCAGCCTGATGAATCCCAACCATGAAAATCCCATCACTAACAATATCCTGGTGATAGAAAGAATTCCCCCCCTTTCCCCCATGAAAAGGAACAAGCCAAAGACTGCTATATCCCTTCTAGCTAAGGCAATTAGATAAGAAAATGAATGAGTGATCCATATTGGAAAAGAGGAAATTTAATATGAACCTACATAATTATAAATTTTCTTGTAACCATTCTTTTTTTTTTTTTTGGTACCAGGGATCGAACTCGGAACCTTGTGCTTGTGAGCCAGGCAGCAGAACCACTGAGTGAAATCCCCGGCCCTATCTTCTTTTTTTTTTCTGTTTTTGAGACAGGGTCTTGCTTTGTAGTTCAGGCTATCCTGGAGCTCACTATGTAGCCCAAGCTGGCCTCGAAGGCATAGCGTTCCTCCTGCCTCAGCCTCCCAAGTGCTGTGATTATAAGCATGCGCCACCATGCCCAGCTACCTTCTTTATTTTTGTACTTAGTCTTTTATTTTGTTGTATATTTTACACATACACATCTTAATTGGACTAACCACATTTCAAGTGTCCATAAGGTTAGTGGCTATCACAGTAGATAGAACAGGGCTGGGGATTTACCTCAGTAGTTCTGCTGCCTGCCTTGCAAGCACAAGGTCCTGAGTTCAATCCCCAGTACAAAAAAAAAAAAAAAAACAGATAGAACAGGGTCTGAGTTCTTCTAGTCTAGTGGTGGTGAACCTGTGGCACAGGTGCCACAGCTGGCTGCTTGTTATCACTGAAAACTCTAAGAGGTTTGCCATCACTGTCCTAGTCCATCACAGCCTCAGTTAGCCCCTCCCTGTGAAATAGATAACTTTCTGATCTATTAGTTCAGAAACTGCAAAAAATAGCTTTACCACAAAACACTATTTTAGGGAATGGGAAAGGAAATGTTACCAGGACCTCTGCCGTGGGTCCTGGCCTCCTGTGAGCCACCACAGCACAAGGCCGAATTCAAGAACAGGTAGAAACCAGACTTAGCATGGAGAAGCTGAGTCTTGGGTCCTGAGCAGTGCTGCTGATGTCAGCAAAGACAAAGGCCCCCAAGCACATCCAGTATTTATTGAATACAATCATGGGAAGGAATAGGGAGCAGGGTGTGCTTTGAAGGCATCTAGCAAAATACTGCCGAACACCAGCATGATGGCGCCAGGCAGGGCTGTTAGGGAGGAAGCACTGTTTATCTAGCTTGGATGGAACAAACTGGTACTGAGACCTGGTGCAATTATTATGCAACCCACCGGGTCAGTGAGAAGCCATGATTCGGGGGAAAGGGTTTTAATTGGGGTCACGCTGACCTCAGCTGCATGTAACTCAGCAGAGCCCTGCCACTTCATAGACCAGGGCCTAGGTTTCTGTGGCAGCCATTGAGGGAGGGGCTATGCTTGCCCAGTCCACCATCTGACACGCCCATTTGAGTCACATAGGGCTTCGGTCTGACACCTGAAATAAAACAATTGCCAAATTATGGAAAGCAAAAAGCATATGCCACTCATAGCCTGCTAGTACTGGGCAGGGATGTTTGCTACACATTGTGGTCCCCAACTCACATATGAAAGGGTTGGTTTGTTTTTTTAGTGCTTATTCTAAAAGAAAAATACCTTCCGGACTTTTTTTTGTTTGGTTTGGGCTCACTATGGGTCTCACTATGTAGTTCAGGCTGGCCTCAAACTCACTGTGTATCTTAGGCTGTCTCAAACTCACAGCAATCCTCCTGCCTCAGCCTCCAGAGTACTGGGGGTTACAGGTGTGTACCATCACGCCCAACTTCACACTTTATTACAGTACTTGATTTACAATGTCATGTTCCCAGAGTATCAGATACATTCTGATTCAACTATAAATTTTAACAAAATAAGCCAGCTATAAATATGGATTATCTCCATACCTCCTTCCATTAAAATGAATTATTTCACTACATTAATAAAATCATGTAGCCAGGTGTGGTAACACCTGTAATCCCCAGCACTCTAGAAGGCTGAGGCAGGAGGATCACAAAGGACTGTGGATGCAGCTCAGAAGTTTATGGGTTCAATCCCCAGTACCACAAAATAAAATCCATATGATACCTTTTAATAGTCTTGATATCATCAGTAAGAGTTCTGTGAGTGGTAATAATGGTTCATGAGTTTGCCAGTTAAAGCTGAAAAGGACTTGTGGTTAACCAGATTCAGCTCTTGACTCACCCTACCTTCTGGAGAGGTTTCAATTTTTTTGTTGTTTTTTTAGTTTTTTGCTTTCCAGTACCAGGGATTGAACTCAGGACCTTATGCTTTTGAGGCAGGCGCAGTGCCACTGAGCTAAATCCCCAGCCCTAGAGAGGTGTTTTTGAAAGAAAGGACATTGTTTCTAAGCACAAAATCTTTTTGCAGAACCGTCTCTATCAGGCCATCCAAAGGGCTGATGACATCTTGGACCTGAAGTTCTGCATGGATGGGGTTCGGAGTGCGCTGAGGAGTGAAGATTATGAGCAGGCCGCAGCCCACATTCATCGCTACCTGTGCCTAGACAAGTCAGTCATCGAGCTCAGCCGACAGGGCCAGGAAGGTTGGCATGCGAGACTGTCAGTTTCTAGTTGAGAGACAAGCATCTGTAATCTAAAAGAGGAAAACTAAACCCAGGGAACAGCATGTGTTGTTGGAAGTTTCTTATCTGCTAGTAGGCTCTATATCAGTCCCCTACCATCCCAGGGAAGATGTTGTTATTTCCATTTTATGGAAAAGGAAACTGAATCTGTATCAGTTACTGCTTCTTGGACCAGTAGATTCTTTGCAATTCAACATGTTCCTACTTTTGAAGTGAAATTCTTGGCCTGATATTCTGGGCCTCTCATAATTGATTCACCCTGTCTTTCTTTTGGTACCAGGGATTGAACTCAGGTGCTTCTGCTTTCGAGGTAGGCGGCAGAACCACTGAGCTAAATCCGAAGGCTCTACTCACCCTGTCTTTCTAGAAGCAGTCACTCATACACCCACTCATTGCACAAATACTTGTTGTGTTCTTTATATCAGAACACATACTACTTGCAATATTCTGCAAATACTTTTTTCATATTTCTGCTTTTGTTCCTTTCCTTATGTCATTCTCTTCTCTTGGAATGTGTGTTCCTCCTACTCAGGTATCAAACTCCTGCCCATCTTTGAGAGATGGGATGTCATTTTCCCTAGCAAGCTTTTTTTTTTTTTTTGGTACCGGGGATCAAACTCAGGTGCTTGCGCTTGCACAGCAGGTAACAAAACCACTGAGCTAAATCCCCAG